AGAGGCAAGTGGATTGCTTGAGATGGGGAGTTTGAGACCAGCCTGAGCAAGAACGAGACCCTGTTTCTACCTAAAATAGAAAAACTAGCTGGGTGTTGTGGCGAGCACCTGTAGTCCCAGCTACTCAGGAGGCTGAGGTAAGAGGATCACTTGAAACCAAGAGTTTGAGGTTGCTGTGAGCTATGACGCCACGGGCCTCTATCTAGGGTGACAGAGTGGACTCTGTCTCAAAAAAAATTTTTTTTTTAATAAATGAATAAATAAACTTGCAAGTGAAAACTCAGCCTCCTGCCTTCCATTCCAATTCTAAGAAATGACTGCTCCCTTTGCTGTGACCTCAGGAATGATTTTCAAAGGACCCAGTCAAAATAAACCAAGAGGAGTGTGGGATCGAGCTATCCAGCAACAGAACTGTGTAAGAGCTGAACGTTTACCAGGGAGACTGTGAAGGGTCACTTTTGATTTGGGGAGGGGCAAAAGCAAGGGCCTGGCTGGGCCACTTCAGTTAAGTCACCATCCCTCTCTGGCCAACCTCTGAAGCCCTTTCAGCTAATAAGAATTACTTCATCAGCAGAGGGAAGAGCGATTACTGTGCTGGGCAGGGATGTCTGGGATGTGATCCTAGCTGTCGACCTTACTTCACCCACCCCTACCTAGGTCACATCCCATGTGGAGAGATTAAGGAGAGCCTGGTCATCTGGTATAGGAGGGCTGCACTGGTGGGGAGTTAGAGAAGGAAGGTGGAGGGGGAAGGGCTGAGGTGGGAGGTGAGGTTTGGGCACGTCATGGAGAGCCTCAAATGTCCACCTACTCTGGTAGGCAGTGGGGAGCCATGGACGGGTATTAAGCAGGGAGAAAGATAATCAGATTTTGAGAAACTGATCATAGCCAGGAGAGCTGTGAGAAGGCCAGAGCTGTAATACTGGGCAGATTTGACCAGGAAGTGAGGGGCAGCAGGGGGAACAGAGGGCAGGCCCCAGAGACCCCCTCTGCTTCAACGAGCTGGACTTTGGAAGGGAGCAGGTGGAGGGGTGAGCAGGAGGGGGGATCCAGATGGGCCTCAGGCTTGTATGATGGACAAAGGGGGAACCCAGAGGCAGGACAGGTTGGGGGTGGAAGGAGTTGGATATTGGCTGGCTTGAGTCTGGGTGTCTGTGGGCTTCTGGCAGCAGGTCCAGGAAGCAGCTGGAAATGCGGGTTTTATAGAGAATGAACCAGAAGGTCAGAGTTGTTTTTGCCAACTCCCCCCCCCCCGCCCCCAAGGAAAAAGACCATGCCCGAACTTGCGTCTTTCACCCTCCCCACAAAGTCTGTACTCTAATGAGAAACCACCAGTCCCTGACACTGGGTTTGGTGTAGAGCTCAGCTGCTTTTACCCTGGAGTTGGGGCTCTTCTTGGGGGGCATTGCAGCCATCTCCCTTCAGCAGAGCTCAGCAGCCTCAGAGGGTCTGCCAGCAGGGTGTTCAAGCCCTAACTGCTATTCTGCAGAAAGACCATCTCCACCCAGCCCCAACCTTCTGATCGCACAATGTCAGGGCTTCCCTAAGAGCTGCCCAGAGCCAACTCTAACTGGGTGCTGACAGGGTGCAGGCCCAGTGCCAGACAGTTACAGGCATCCTGTCTCTCAAATCCTCACAATCACCCGTCAGGGAGATGCTATTATTATTGTTTCCATTTACAGATGAGGGAAGCTTCCAGAGTTCACGTGAAAGGCCTTGTCCCCCCTCCACTGGGTGGTGAGTGGTGGGTTGGTGGGGTAAGGCTGCAGGGTAACCTGGGAAGGCATGGGAGCTCTCTGAGCCCCTATGTAAAATGAGGCTTTGCTTAGGGGACCCCAGCCCCCCAACCTCCTCCCACCCTGCCCCAGATTTCAGCTCTGCAGTTGCAGCTCCTAAGACTCCCCTCCCCAATTCTGTTCCTCAGGGCCCAGCTCCATTGGGAACAACCGCCCCCTCCCCCTCCCAGGCTGTGCTCCTGGCAGCTCTGCCGCCCTGGGCTCTGGTCCGGGGGTGGTCCCTGGCAGAGAGGGGGGTGGGCAGAAGCCAGGATGCTTGGGCTGAGATACTGGGCATCCAGAGACCCCTGAGCCCCTACCTCAGGAACCATTGTGTGCCAGGCTGGGGTGGGTAGGGCCTTTTGGAAAGGGGTGGCTTGAGGTTTTAATCACTTTTTCAATGTTTGTTTGTGTAATTCAGCCCCGAGATGCGTTTCCCTCCATCTGTCCCCACCATCTGCTCCCATCAGGATTTTCCAAACCGTTTGGGACCAAAGAGGCTACGTGGTGGGGGGGATGGGAGGGATGGGCCTCTGAGGGGGTGGGAGAGCGGCCACCTTCACCCACTTCACTGAGAGGCTTCCAGGGAGGGGCTTGAGCTCCTGAGGCACACAGAACTGGGTTCAGATTGTGACACTGTTGCTTTCTTGCTGTATCACCTCGGGCAGGTGACTTCACTGCTCTGAGCCTCAGTCTCCATATCTGTACAGTGGCAGTGGCAGGACTGATTCCTCAGGATCACTGAGGATCAAATGAGGTGCCTGCCAGATACCGTATCTCTCTGGCGTCCTGGGAGTTGTTCCGACTGTCTTTTGTGGTAAAGGAAGGCAGCTATCCCTGAGTTCTCTGCCCCCACCTCATTCAGCAGACAGTGGGGAATCCCCTCCCCCTAACTTACCGACTCTTCAGTAGACCTTGCCTTCAGTTACCTCCCACCTCTACCCTGGGCCAAGCCTCCTCTCCCTCCTGGATGCCTCACTCTGAGGCAGACCTGAGCACAATGGCTCTCCAGGCCTAGTGGGGAGAGAAGGTAGGGAGCTTGTCCCTGGAGGGGCCTGAGGTAGGGGCTGAGCAGTAAGTCTCTCCCAGCACCCAGGTCCTCACGCAGGAGCAGCTGGGAACCACCCACGCTCGTCTGGCGTCTCTCACGCCTCTACTGGGGGTCCCAACATCAGAGCCAAGGCACACTGTGGAGCCCGTGTGTTCCGGAGGGCCCAGCTGTCTCTACCCCATCCCAGCCTGTCTTCTCAGCCCCTCCAGCTGAGACCTTCTCACTTGTTCCCAAGTAGGAAGGACAAGTGCTAGAGACTCTGAGGACCTGAGGGGCTTGGTCTGGAAACCTTGAGGTAGAGATTTGGTTGAGCCCTAAGGAGGCAGGAGGGTCTGCTGGCTCTTAAAAAGTACTACACTAGTCATTACCTGTGGCTAAGTGAGTGGGGCATGGGTCCCATACCAAGGGTGGCGGGTTCAAACCCGGCCCCGGCCAAACTGCAACAAAAAAATAGCCGGGCGTTATGGGGGACGCCTGTAGTCCCAGCTACTCAGGAGGCTGAGGCAAGAGAATCACCTAAAGCCCAAGAGCTGGAGGTTGCTGTGAGGTGTGACGCCATGGCACTCTACTGAGGGTGACAAAGTAAGACTGTCTCTAAAAAGAAAAAAAAAACAAGCACTAGACTGGAAGGAGCTCTCCAGGCAGATGGCAGAGCTGTCAGGATTCCCTTCAAAGTGAGTCCAGAAGCCAGATCCACTCCCTGGTCATCTCTCAGCCTGAAATGCTCCCATGTTCCCACCTTGCCCCCAACCTAAGTCTACTTTTTTTTTTTAGAGACAGGGTCTCACTTTCTTACCCAGGCTGGAGCTAAGTGGCATGATGACCGTAGCTCACTTCAACCTCCAACTCCTGGCATCAGCTTCCCCAGAGCACTGGGATCACTGCAACCCCCTCAAAGCCTGTTCTTGACATAATGGCCCCAGTGAACTATTGACATGGAAGTCAGACCCTCTCAGGCTGTTCAAAGCCAAGGACTTCCCATTTTACGTGGAATAAAAATCTGTAGTCCTTGGCATGGTTCCCAAGGCTCCTGATGTGTCACTATCCTAACCTCCACACCACAACTTTTTCGAAAACACTTACCATATACTACAGAATTGACTTTTATGTTAGGTCCAGTGTTATTGCCCACTTCCCAGACAGAACAGCGCTGGCTGCAGCACTAGTGTTTTAAAAATAATTGTGGAATGAATGAATGAGGGCACATGGATTCCACTCATTAGCTGTAAGACACACTGGAAAAATCTTTTAACCCTTCTGAGCCTGTTTCCTCATTTGTAAAGTAGGGACAATAAGGAGCACCTCCCAGAGATGAAGAAAGGACCAAATATAAGCCCAGGAAGTGGGTTTTGTTGCTGAGGCTGCGGGAAGGAGGCTGCAACCCCACATGGGCAGGAGGAGCTGTGATGGCGCGGTTGACTCTGGAGGGGAGCTGTCCTGTCTGCAGGCAGGGGCCCAGACACTTCAGAACCTTCAGGCTGGATGGAGATCTTCTTCTGTTCTTGTATGTCGCCATCCTGCACAAGTAGAGGTTGGGGAGGGAAAAAGGGAGGGGGCTTCCTTGATTGGAGGCGGGAGTAGGAGGAGCGGTTGGGAGGTGAGATTTACCCTCTCCTGAGAGGGGATCAGGGATGAGACCGGGAATGGTGGGCAGGAGATGGAGGCGGGTCTCCAAGTGGAGGTGGGGTAGGGGGCGTGTCTGGCCCCCATCCCGAAGACCTCACGGACTGGAGGGATGGGCGCTCTCCCCTCCCCCAAAGACCCCCCCAGCTTAGTTAGCTCCGGAGTTGAGGAGCGGGGGAGAAGGGAGGGTGCCTATCGAACCGCCCGAGGATCCTGATTCCGCCCTCGGAGCGACGTGCGGCTCGGAGCCCAGGTGGGGATGGGGGAAGAGGGAGCGGAGCGGCCAGGGATTGTCCCCGGCTAAGGAAAGAGGTCTGTTGGCATTGACCCGCCCCTCCATTCAGGGTACCTGGGTAGAGCTGCTGAGGAGATGGGGGCCGCGGTCCTCCTCCCCCGCCGGGTGCTTCCTCAAGAGGGGGGCCAGGGAAGTGAGGGCGCCCCCTTCCCTCTCTGGCGCGGGGGCGGGGGCGGAGCCTAGCGCACCGCTCCCCCCGGGGCTGGAGGGGACCCCCCCAGGGGAGGGCCTCCGGGTGAACGCTGCGGGGCGTCTCCCTCTCAGTCCCGCCCGCCCCTCCGGCCGCCCCTGCTGCCGCGCGCCGCAGCAGCGCCGCCTTCCCTGCGCAGTCGGTGTCTCCGCGTCGCTGGGTGAGTGGGGGCCGCTCCGGCAGGGGCTGGGGAATGCGGGCAGGGGGAGTCCGTAGCTAGGGGCCACGTCCAGGGCTCCCTCACCCAGCTGCTCCCGCGCCTCCGGGGAATCCTCCCTCGGGGGTGGAGGGGGGTGGCGAAAGGGTCAGGAACTCCCCGGGGAATACGCGGTGCTCTCCAGGGTGCTGACCGCCGGGTGACCGGCCCCGAGGAGCTGCGTTTCGGCCGTCCGGGAGCGCCCCCTCCAGGAGGGGCCCCGTGCCCGGCGCTCGGCGAGTGCTGGCGGGATTGAGGCGGAGGCTCAGGTCCACAGATGGGGAAAACTGGAGAGGGTCTGCGGGGCAGATTGCTCAGGTTCTTCCCATTTAGGGGACTGGAGGTCTTTGTGGGGACAGCATAATCTTCTTCCAATTGGGAGGGGACAACTCCAAGGGTGACAGAGGAGGGGGCACTGGAGAGCTCTCTTGCTCAACGCATCTCTCTGCCCCCGCCCCGGTGACCCAGTTCCTCGGACCTTGAGGAGGGAAGTAAGGGACACACTCCCTCACCTTCGCCCTGCGCATTTCCTCAGTCCCTTCCCACACACTTGTGCGGTGGGTTCTCAGCCCGGGGCAGAAGAGGCTGATCTAGAAGGGAGGGGCATCAACTTACAGAAACATGCACGTGACACACTGCTGAGGACAAAACACAGGTCCCCCAAATGGCCACACAGGCACATTCCCTCACACTGTGATGGGCGCATACCTGGTCACACAAACAGCGCACACGCACAGACATGGGTAGAAACACATGCAAGACAAATGCAGAGCGCAGAGGCACACGTTATACCTAAGCACATGCACTCTGGCACACACACCCACTCACAAGTGCACAGAGCATCGTGCACACAAACAAGGAACCCTCCTCGCCCTGTCTGGCTTGTGGCCCCAAGCTGGGAGAGGTCACCCAAACACAGCCCTACATCCCTGCCCAGAACGACATGGTCATCTCCTCTCCCTTGCCTTCCCCTCAGCCTCCACAGCCTCTGCACTAAGGGGACCTTCCAAGACTAGATTAAAAGTAAGTGTTGAGGAAGGTCGGCTGGACTAGGTGTCTCCTTGGAAAAGACACCCCCAGTAGGTGTGGAAGGGCTGCAGCTCCCTCTCCTGGGATCTGGCAGTACCCCGGGGAAAAAACAGAAAAATGGCAAGGGTGCCTGAAGGTCCCACACGTGCCACTGGCCATGTGAGAGGTGTCGGCATGCGAGTTGGCGTGTGATGGCATGTGTGAGACATGTGGGGCTGTGGGCTGGTGTGTCTTGGTGCACAGGGTATGGGAGTTCTGCGTGGTCCCATGTGTCAGTACATGTGAGTTGTGGAGCAGAGGGAATGTTGTCATGTGTGGAGGCATGGTGGCTCCATGGGTGGGTGTGGGCTGGTACGTGAGCGGCGTGAGAACCGGTGTGTGGATTTGGTGAGCTGTGTACCAGAATAGGTGTCAATATACATTCACTTACATAGTATTGTGCATGCCTTCTGGGGCACTTGGGTCATGTTTATTTATTTAACACTTATGTAGCCCTGTCTACATAGGCACGGTTCTAAGTGCTTCACATGTATTAACTAATTTAATCTCTACAACAAGCTTAGGAGGTAAGTATTATTATCACCCCACTTTACAGATGAGGAACACGCCCAGGGTCACTTAGCTGCTAAGAGGGAGAGCTGGAATTCAAACCCAGTGACCTGGCTCTGGAGCCCAGACCAAGATCTGCTCTATGCTGCCTCTTGTTGGTCACACCTGTGGGGCAGAGAATAGGGCAGTATCTGAGCTGCAGGGGCATTTTGGGGTGAGCAGGCACATGTGAGTCTGTAAGGGGGGAGGGGAGAGGAAGGAGGAGAACCAGGTCTTTCTGTATCTCCAGGGAAACTCTGGCATGCCATGGCTGTGTGACCTGAAGCAAGTCATCTCCCTTCTTTGAGACTACCTCTCCGTCTGTAAAGTGGGGCTCATCCCCACACTTCCCCTTGGGAGGGTATAATGGTATGCACTGGAAAAGGCTGAGTGGCTGGCACCAGGAAGGGCCTCAGTAAATGTAAGCCCCTGTCCAGGTCTGTTCTCCAGGAAAGTCTAAGTGTGGAACATGTCATAGAGGCAGGAGACCTTGGTGTAGGCTATGTGACCCTGGGCCAATTCCTCTGTCTCACTGGGTCAAATAAGAGGCTGGAGTGGTTGGTGGCAGGGGTTCCTTCTGGAGTGGCGTCAAGTAACCAAGAAGGCCTAACAACTCCTCTCTGTCCCTCGACCCTCTTGGGGACCCAGGTGGGACTTGGCTCAGTGGCCATGGGCAAGCAGAACAGCAAGCTGCGGCCCGAGATGTTGCAGGACCTACGGGAGAACACAGAGTTCTCAGAGCTGGAGCTGCAGGAGTGGTACAAGGGCTTCCTCAAGGACTGCCCCACGGGCATCCTCAACGTGGACGAGTTCAAGAAGATCTACGCCAACTTCTTCCCCTACGGTGACGCCTCCAAGTTCGCTGAGCATGTCTTCCGCACCTTTGACACCAACAGTGATGGCACCATCGACTTCCGGGAGTTCATTATTGCACTGAGTGTGACCTCTCGAGGTCGCCTGGAGCAGAAGCTCATGTGGGCCTTCAGCATGTATGACCTGGATGGCAACGGCTACATCAGCCGGGAGGAGATGCTGGAGATCGTGCAGGTGGGCTCGGGGCCCCCGGCATGCCAGGTGCAGGACCTGGCAGCTTGTGCCTCCTCCCCCCATTCTGATCCTCTCTGCAGACCTTGTGGCAAGTAGTGGCAGGGGCTATTCTTATAATGCCATCTAAAACTTTTATTAGGAAATATTTCCTGTTTAAAGAAAAATCAAGAAAACTCCCATAGACCCTTTACTCAGATTGACCAATTAACATTTTGCCACAGTTGCTTTATCATTATGTGTGCGTGTGAGTGTGCAAGCATGTATATATTGTTTTCTTGTTGTTCTGAACGTTGTCCCTTTACCCTTGGATACATCAGGATGTATTTCCTAAAAATAAGGACATTCTCTTACATAACCCATAATATGATTATCAAAGTCAGAACATTTAACATAGAAACAATGCTATTATCTAATCTACCGATCATATTCAATTTTACCAACTGTCTCCATTTCTTTATAGCATTTTTGCTCCTGGTCAAGGATCATGCATTGAATTTCATTGTCATGTCTCTTTAGTCCTCTTTAATCTGGACTAGTTCCTCAGTTGTCCTTTGTCTTTTATGACTTGACATTTCTGTGGAGGACAGGCCAGTTATGTTTTATGGAACCTCATTTTTTCAGGAGAAAATGGATGCTCAGAGAGGTAAAAGCACTTGCTTGAGGCCACACAGTCTGTGAGTGGGCCACCTGGCTCTAACTTCTACATTCTGCCACCTTCCAGCTAACTGAGGGCCCACTAAGAGAGTAATACTGAAGGAACCATTTGTATCTATGAGCTCAGTGCATCTTTACGACAACCCCATAAGGCTCAGAGAGGTGGAGTAACTTGCCCAAAGTCACACAGCACATAAATGGAGTCAAACTGAGGCTGGTCACTACTCAGAGCTGCCTTTTCAGAAGGCTTTGAACATCCCAGCAAGGAGGCCAGGCTTCCATTTCTGGAGTTGGCCTTACCTCTTAGGTTGCTCATTTATAAAGGGGGGGAGTTAACACTGACCTCATGAAAAGATTTAAAGAACTGATCTGAATGCCCTTTTTCAGTACAATTTTAACTGTGCTACATGTTAGCTTTATTTCAAAAATCTCCCAGAGCACACATCTGATCAGCCCAGCATTGAAGACAGGGAGGGCTCGGGTTCCATGTTACCTACGCAGTTCCTTGCCCGTGTTTTTCCTGAGCCTTTACAGGTTTCTTCACCTGTAAGGAAGGAGTGTTAAGCCCCTATCTGATAAGGTTATTGTAGGGATAAAGTGGGGTAGGGACTGTAGCAGAGGGCCTGGCATATAATTGGTACTTGGTAAACATTAGCGATTGTGCGTTATTATCTTCTCCTCCTCACAGCCTCTGCTCTAACCAGAATGGCCTTTTCAGCATCCGTGAAATGTGCCCAGAGTGACCCTGCTCCACCACTTTGCAAAAGCTGTTGCCCCTTCTGCAGCTCTGAATCCTTTTGCTCTGGTCCCTCTGCTCTGCTGACTGCTCCCCCGACTGCTCCCCCTCCCAATTCATCCTGCTGGACTCTTGACTTTGGCTTCTCCTCTTGCTAAGGGTCTGGGTCTGCTCTCTCCAGCTGAAGCAGAATGGGCCTTAGAATATGATGTGTTCTTTATGTCTATGGCTGGGGAGAAAGTGGGCCAGGCATTAACTCTGTAGTTGCTGGATGGTGGGGATCTCTGGGACTAACTAGGGTGGTGGAGGATCCCTCAGGGACTAGGCAGCAGATGGATACCAACCAATCTGGAAGTTAGTGTGGTTGCACTGGTATGTACTGGCAAATCTTAGTCCTTCTAGAATCACCATACCCAAGGCATCAGTCAAGCCTGCCCTATTCATTAGGCATCCTCAGGATCTCTTTCTAGCTGGTCTCTGGCTTCTTTTATGGTAGCCTGGCAGGTCTAGACACCAGGTGCAGACAGAGCTCTGCAACCCCCAGTGCCTAATTAATGACAAGTTGGCTCCAGTGAAACCATGAGCAAATAGCAATTTCAGACAATTAATTCGAGGTGCAGGAGAATGGTTGTCTCAAGGGGAGTGGTCACTCTGTAAGTTACTTAGTCCTTCTCAGGACCCAGCCCTGTGCCACGTGGTGGACACGGTGGAAGGGAAAAGACTGCCTCTTGGGGCTTTCACTATAGTGAGAGACAAATGTTCAGGCCATGCTGATCAGCTCAGTGACAGGGGTTAAAGGTGACATCTGGGAGCCAGAAGACTGAGGGAAGACCTGAGGATGTGGTAGATGAATAATGACTATAACATGAGCTGCTGTTTACTGACCATCTACCATAGAAAGCCACTATTTCAACTCTTCTACATACGCACTCTCACTCAATCCTCTCTAGACAACCCTAATAAGAGAGATAGGATAACTCCTATTTTATAGATGAGGAAATTGAGGCTCACAGAGGCTAAGTACTTGTCCAAGGCTACACAGCAAGTAAGAAGTGGAACCAGGATGCCTCTCCAGGTTCATCTGATTTCAAAGATCCTGATGGTCACTGTCCTGGCCTCCATTCAGCAATTAAGAGGGAGCAGGTTCAGGCCAGGGGTGGCGGCTCAGGCCTGTAATCCTAGCACTCAGGCAGGCTGAGGAGGGTGGATTGCTTGAGCTCAGGAGTTTGAGACCAGTTTGAGCAGAGTGAGACTCTATCTCTACTAAAAATAGAAAAACTAGCTGGGCATCACGACAGGTGCCTGAAGTCCCAGCTACTCAGGAGGCTGAGGCAAGAGGATTGCTTGAGCCCAAAAGTCTGAGGTTGCTGTGAGCTATGACACCATGGCATTCTATTGAGGGTGACAAAGTGACATTCTGTTTCAATAAAAAAAGAAAAAAAAAATAAGAAAGAGGGAGCAGGTTCAGATCCACCCAGTCCCTGCCATCAATTCTCTTTCTAAGCCTTGGTTATCCAAAATATGGGGATCATGATACCTACTTTTCAAAGGGGATGTCAGGTTTAGAATTGTTGCATGTAAAGTACCTAGCACATAGTAGGTGACTGATAAAAGGTGGCTAGCATTATTGTTCTATCTTGGGGAATCTGAAAAGCCCAGAACTGTTTGGTTGTTGCCAGAATCACCCAGGCCTGATGGTGGAGATGTCAGCATCTTGCAGATTGTGAAGAGTCTTGAATGCCAAGGGCAGAATGATTTGAACTTGGTACAGAGGGCAGTGGAGGTGCCAAAAGCTTTTATACAGGAGCGCCCCCTGCCAGGTGCCACTGTACTAAGTTCTGAGATTTGGGCACTAGCCAGATGTCCCTGGACCTTGTGTGTATGGAGAGGACTAGGAACAATTCTGCAAAGACATAATTACTTCCAGAGAGGTGTCTTTGAAGGAAAAAGTCCGGGCGGCTATGGTCCTGCATATGCACCCTGACCCAGCTTGGGTCAGAGAAGGCCTTGCTAAGAAAGCGTCATGTAAACTGAGCCCCAAGGAGGAGTGGGAGGCAGCAGAAGGAGCGTGGGGCAGCAGCCAGAAGGAGCTGGGTGCAAGGCGGGCCTGGAGGGAGGCCTGTGTATGAGGGGAGCGAGGGGGTGGTGTGCTGGGCTGGGGACGTAGCAGTGGAGAATCTGTGTTTGGAAAGAGCTTTCAGAGGCAGCGTGGGGGACAGACCCACGAGAAAGAGGCTGGAAGAGACCAGTGCGGAGGCTGAAGCTGGATCTGAGGCAGGACAAGTTTGTGGGATGGGAGGCTTCTTGGAGGAGGTGTTGGTCAGGAAAAGATGCAAGGTTGAGGCGCCCAGTCAGGTCCTTGAGCTCCAGGGCACTAGGACCCGGCCCATCCCTCAGGCCAAGCCATACAGACGCTGTACATTTAGCGCAAAAACCCTCCTTCGCGTTGCATCGGTAGCTCCCGCACGTGGCGGCTGCCGCCTTCAGCCTGCAGAGCCTAGGCTGTCCCCGCCCCCGGCAGATGCTCATTTGCATTCATTTGCATAATGTTCCCCGCCCCCTCTGGGCCCTGCGCCCCCTGTCGGCCGTCGAGTTCCCGAGAAGCTGCGCTAACCCGGGGCTTACTCCCAACCTGCGGCCCCACCCCACGAGATCCAAAGCCTGGCGTTCTAGGTCTTTCGCTATCCGGATCCATCGCTCCTGACCCATTGCACTCCCAAATTCCTGGCGCCCGCTCGGAGCTTTCGCGCTGCGGTGTCTTTGTTCCTTTCCCACCTAGCCCTCCAAGGGAACTTGGTCAGCGCCCGCTCCACTAGCCCGCTCTTCTGGGAAGCCTTCCCAGAAGCTCCTTCCCAGCTCCCCACGCCTCAGTGACCTCCACTCCAGCTCTCCCCCGGGGGGGGGGGCAAACGTCAGCGTGCCTGGGGACGTCTCTGAATGTTGGGGCGGGGGGGGGGCTCAGGCCGGCTCCTCTCACTCTCTGTCCTCGCTTTTCCGCCCCCCCAGGCTATTTACAAGATGGTTTCCTCCGTGATGAAGATGCCGGAGGATGAGTCGACCCCAGAAAAGAGGACTGAGAAAATCTTCCGCCAAATGGACACAAACAACGACGGTGAGGGGGCAGCGGTGGGATGGGGCGGGCGCCACCTCCTCCCTCCCTTTCCCACTTCTATGCTCCTCCGCCACTTCTCCTCGGTCACAGCTTCCCTCACCCCGCAGGCAAGCTGTCTCTGGAGGAGTTCATCCGCGGGGCCAAAAGCGACCCGTCCATCGTGCGCCTGCTGCAGTGCGACCCCAGCAGCGCCTCTCAATTCTGAGCGAGAGGATCCAGGTCCCCCCACCTCCCTTGCCTTCACCGGCCCCCTCCCGCTCTCAGCTTCCTCTCCTTTGCCTCCTATCCAGGCTAGGGGCCAGACTCGGGGACCCCAAACCCCAGAACTGCACTTTGGGGAGGCCTCTGGAGAGAACTTTGCAGTCTCCCCAGGCCCAGGCAAGCAAGCGATTAGTCCGCCCCAATCCAAGAGGCAATGATAGAGAGACGCAGGCTATCTTGTTGTGCCCCGCAGTCAGCCTAAGCCCTCCCATACCTACCTAGACCAGGGAACTCAGCCATCTCTCTCCCATCCTCATCAACAGGGCAGACCCTCTAGCAACCGCAACCCAGAGGCATACCCCCTAACGCAGGTCTCAGCCTGGTTGGAGGGGGTAGTCATGCCCAGGGGGAGGAGCCTGTCTTTTTATGTGGTGGGGGGGAGAATGATTCCAGGGGTGTGGGGGTTTGAGGAAGAAGCTTCCTTGAGCCATCTTTTCCTGCAGTTGGGCCTCACCCAGCCTGCTCCATGCTTTGCTGGTCCTAAGGCCATGATGCAAAGGAAAACCTCCCAGGATTCTAGCCTGTCAGATGTGGGTCCCCTGAAGCCCCGCCTGCCTTTCAGCTCTTGGATGAACACAGCCAGCCACATACAGACCCACCAACCCCTCTGTGTTTCGCTTCTCTTGTACATACACACATGGACCCTCAGACAGTTGGACAGATGCACCTAGAACTCCATCCACAGCGTCCTGTGTAGGAAAGAAGCACGGCCCCCCTGGCTAAACACCCGTCCACCCGCCTGTCCCCTGCCACCCCTGCATGCAGCCAAGTGGAACATCTCTGTTCTTTTTAATAACTTCAGAATAAAGTCTCATTTCAGTGCAGTGGGCTAGGTGGTCAGGGGAAGGGGTCGAAAGCCTCATTTGGATCTCTGAGGGTCCATTGAACCCTCTTGGGCCAGTTCCAGGAATCTTAGCTTGGTCATGGTACAGACTTGGTTGCCAGTGGTCCTGGGGCCTGGATGAGACATCAGCTTTCAGAGGGTCAGAGGCTCAGAGCTAGTATATCAGCAGGTCTTGGCCCTCCACAGGCTCTGGGCTCTCTAGCATCTGCGAGACATAGGAGGCTGCCAGGCCCAGTGTGTCTGGGCCTGGGTCTCTTCCTCCAGGGCACCCAGGGAATGTGAGGAGGGGAGGGCTGGGGGATCTCTTGGGGCAAAGGGGAATCATTACCCACCTCCATGCAAGAGCCAGGCCAGACCCATTTGAGCCCAGATACTCCCTCCTCCCTTAAGACTCATCCTGGGCCCTGGGAGAACCAGGTGTCTGGGCTCTCTGAGCCTCCAAGCCTTTTCCTTTGCTTCTGGGGAGAAAACTTTTGCCCTACCCCAGTTCTTAAGGTGGGGACCTTGTACAGAGGGTGGGGCTACTGATCTGAGCTCCCCAGCAGGGTCTCCCAGGATACTGGAAGTCAGGGCTGTGGAGGGGATTTACCGCGTGGTGGCTGCTCTTCCCCCACCAGGGCCTCAGTTCCAGCAGCTGGTGGGTGAGCTGGGCGCCGCGCACAGCAAACAGGCTCTCCACCATGCAGAGCACTAGTGCGATGGCCCACAGGCACAGGCTGGAGCTCTGTGGGGCACAGCAGGCAGAGATGGTTGTCTGGGACAGGTAGTGGAGGGCTCTGAGAATACTTCCCAGCCCTGTTGAACACCTGCATGCCTCCCCATCCCAGGTCTAGCAACTTACGTAAATGCGTGTGGGGTCAAACGGGCAGTCAGGTGTGAGGGCCAGTAGTTCAGGGCTCCCAAAAGTGCAGGCAGCCAGTAGTGCTTGGCCCCGGGTGGCAAAAGTCACAGCAATTGAGGCCAAGAGGCCAAGGGCACAGGTCAGAGAGAGGAGAGCACAGGCCAAGCTTGAGCTAAACACTGTCCAGCGCTGTATGGGGAAGCCACTGGTCAGTGGGCATCAGGCTGGTCCCCATGGGAAGCTCTGGCCTACTGAGGGGTCTCATCCCCTCCAAGCAGGGCAGGCTCTTGGGGGTGGCACCCTACCCCCAAAACCCTATCCCAGGAGGTGCCACATACCAGAGGGGTGCTGGGAAGGTAGCGTGACAACACTATGGCTGCAATACCAGAGGCGATGACCTGTGGGGAAGCTTGAATCAGCTCTCACCCCCTGCTGCAAGGGAGCAGGCAGGGGGTCAGGGCCACCCTTAGACAAAAATTCCACCAATGCCAATCCTGGCCTTCCAACCCACTACCCGCTCACCCCTCATCCCCTGCTTCGCTTTGGCCTCATTACCATCATCTACACACAGCTGCTGCCTTCTCATGGCCCAGCCTTGGAGTGTTATTTCTAAAGCAGTCACTCCCTGCCTACAACCTTCCATGACTCCCCACTGCCTACAGCTGTGAGACTCAAATATGTGGTGGTGGGGGGGCAAGCCAAGGGGTATGCTAAACTATAGGATATATGTGACATATCTTCCAGAAAAAAACTAAGAAACCCAACCAGCAAGGAACTAAAACCAAAATTGCTATATTAAAACAAACCAGGACATTTGAGTAGAATTCAAAATCCTTGGGAGCATTTAAAAGTATTTCAGGCTCAGTGATCAGGCCCCCAGCCCTGGGAGCTTCCCCACCCCATTCTGGGCCATTCTCCCTTGTCACTGCCCTGGATGTGGACACCCATACCCAGCCTGCTCAGGGTGCTGCCACACACAAATTCTCACCAGGGACACCCTTCCTGCTCCTCTGCCTGTGTAGACCCTTCAAGCCCTGCTCAGGAGCTTCCTCATGCAGGTTTCCCTAAGCAGCCTCTGTCCCAAGGGGTAGGTCTACCCCCATTTAGCCCAACAGCTGCCTTCTGGACCTTTGGGCTCCATCCATCCAGTCTTCCTCCTATTGTTCCCTCACTGGACTAAGCATGGCTAGATCCATGGGAGGCAAGTGGTAAGATGAGGGTCCTGGGTTCCAGGCCCAGCATGTCTTTAATTTCCTGTGTAGCCACAACTAAGTGTTTCACCGTGTCTGGACTAAGCCCCTCTCTGCAGGATGAGCTCACAGAAAGACTGTTTGCTTTGGTGTCAGACACAAATACGTTCAAATCCAGTGTGGCTTTTTTCCTATTAGTGGGAGCTTGGGTGAATCCTTGAGTCTTGGCTTCCTCTTTTGTAAAGGGAGAATAACAGCTATGTTATTGGGAGTAGCAAGAATTAACTAAGTAAATGTGGGCAAAGCTGCAGGGGTCACAACCCAGAGCCTATCCCTGGTGTACCTCCTAACCCTGAGCTCACCATTTCTCTGGCTTCCTCACAGGTTGGTTAGAGCAACAGTGTCAGTAAGAGTAACTCCAAACACCCCTGAACACATCTGTCCTGCCCAGACTCTCCTACTTGCTGGGGCCCATGATCATGATCCCTGTTCACCCTAGCCTTGAGGCTAGCAGGCTACAGGAGCTTCATTTTGCAGAGCATGGGGAACAGGATTGAAAGAGTAAGTCCCCCAGCCAGGAGGTGGCAGGGATGGAATTCAGGCACTGATGTCTAAGCAAATGTTCCCCATAGGCTGAGGCTGCCTCGGCTGACAGGGGCTTTGAAAAGCCTGTTTGTAAAGGAGCTTTACAAACTTGAGGCCCTTTCATTCTTGTATTAATCAAACAGGCACTGACATGCAGTCACAATCATGGCTACCACTTACTGAGCAGTTACTATACACCATGCCCAATGCTAAGCTCCGGCTGTTCAATGTCCCCAGAACAGATCCTGGCCATTCCCACCTCCATACTTCGCATTTCCCATTCTCTGCACTTAGATTGATGTTCTAGTTTCCTTTCCCACTTGCTAGTCCCGGTATGCCATGCAACAAGGTTATGGTCAGGGCAGTCCATCTGGGAACTCCTACTTATCCATCAGTACCCATCTCAGAGATTTCTACTTCTGTGAAACCCTCCTGGACTCTCCCAAGCTGATCTGACGCTCCTTGCTCCTGTCCAGTAGCACTTGGGATATTTATGGTGGCACGAATCTCAGTTCACAGTAGTGAGCACTAACCATGTGCCAGGTGCTGTGTTAAGCACTTTGTGTGTGGATGACCTCAGTCAGTACTCACTAGGACTCTCAGAGGTAAACACCATTACCATCATGGTTTTATCCATGGGGAAGCTGAGGTAAAGAGGTTGAGTGACTTGAGCAGTTATGGACCAAGAGTTGGTGCCTGGGCTCTCTGGTTACCCACCAAAGGCTCTGGGGTAGGAACTTGTTAAAAACTTTTCAAAGCCCCTCCATCCCCCTCCTGCCAGCCACCCTCCCAGCCTGCTCATACCACGATAGCGGAAATGACAGAGAGGATGTTGACCACGCAGTACTGCAGAGCCACAGCATCGTGGGGGGCAGCCACATAGCGCAGCACGGTGCCATGGAGCAGGGCGGCTGTGATGAAGCTCACGTGGCCCAGCACTACCAGCACCAGACCTGTCTTCATCAGCACCCTCCGGAAGTCACACACGCTCAGGCCACCTGTGCGGAACAGCCAAGTCAGGCCTGTGGGTGGGGCTTATCCTGCTGGCCAAAAGAGGAAACTGAGGCCCCAGCAGGAGTGATGAACATTGGGTTCTAAATCTATTTCTGGATGACCTGGAGCCAATAACTTGACTTCTCTGAGTCTCAGTTTCCTGGGAAAGCACACAATTTGGTACTTACTGAAGGGTAGTAGTGCTTGTTAGCACTCGAGGTCATGAGTTGCAGGTCCTAACTCAGGTCTTTAGCGCTAGACCTCATGATCCTTCCACTAAGCTCCACATTCACTGATTCATTCATTCATCTGTTCATCACACAAATGTTCACTGAGTGCCTGCTCCACCCTGGGCCTGGGGCACAACAGTGTGTTCAGCAATCATAGCCCAGCCCCATGGCCCTGGAGCCATTGTTCACAGGGCAGGGATCAGGCCCGGCTTGGTGTTTGTTTTAATAGATAGGGCCTGACGCACAGTAGCTGCTCAATACACCACTGCTGAACGGGATGGCCTAGAGCCGGGGCAGGTACCTCCAGCCTCTGAGTCTTCCTGTCCCCATCTGTAAAATGGGAAGAAGGACCCTCCTCTATGAGGAGATGGGTGGGAAAGTGGGCACACCTTGGGATGGGTGGGAAAGTGGGCACTGGGAAAAGCAAGCTCTCAGTGTAGGGGGCACTGGGTAGGGACAAGACAAGGGTAAGGGGATGAGGTGAAGAACACTGGGACTCAGTCAGAGTCTCTCTGAGAGGCCAAGTGGCTGCCTAGCCCCTATCTGCAAATCCCCAGGAGCGGGAACCCTCTTCCTGGGGCAGCTCAGGTTGTTTTTCATCTGCTATCTGGAATTTCCCCCAGGTCCTGGTTCTGCCCTCAAGGGTACACACTATGCTGGCCCTCTGGCCTGCTGGTCCTTCACTCTACACAGCTTTGAGACCTTAAGATCATGGTCAGGCCCCAGAACTATACAGCCTTTTATTTCTTTAGCTGCTCCTGGTGGGATCTGACTTTGAGTTCTTTCCCAGACCTCAGTGTTTTCACCTGTGGCAGAAAGGATTGATCATAGTTCATATAGGGGAGCTCTGCAGCTAAAGAAAAAAAAAAAAAATTTCTAGATGGATTGTCTTCCAGGATGCTGTGCCAAGAGGCAATCCTCAGGGAGCAGGGAGGGAAGGGGGGCCATTCATCACAGACTCACTGTGTGACCTGGCACCAGCCCCTCACCTCTCTGGGCCCAGATCCTATGGTTGGTCCAGCAGGTCTGTGGTTCCTGGAGCCCACAGGACTCTTGGAGCTAGACCAGGTCTAGGAAAAGCAGAGGGCAGATGATGGCCTGGAATGGCCTCAAGAGGATTAACTGCCTGTCAAACAGGAAGAGGCAAGACAACTTCACTCCAGGGGCCTGACCCACCTCACCCCATCCACCTACCTACCTGGCAGCCCAGACACCACCCAGCTCAGGACTGGGCTCAATAACAGTATCCCAGGACCAAGACTTGGGTTAAACAGGAGGCACAGTGCCAGCCTGGGGGTATTGCCTGGAACCCTGGACCTAGTCTCAGGACAGTTTCTGAGTTCGTTTTCTTTTTCTTTCTTTCTTCTTCTTTTTTTTTTTTGAAACAGGATCTTGCTCTGTTGCCCTGGTTACAGTGCAGTGGCCTCATCATAGCTGACAGCAACCTCAAACTCTAAGGCTCAAGCAATCCTCCTGCCTCAGCTACCCCAGTAGCTGGAACTACCACCCACCAGGGTGTGCACCACCATGCCCTGCTCCTTTTTCTATTTGTCATAGAAATGAGGTCTCACTCTTGCTCAGGCTGGTCTTTTTTTTTTTTTTTTTTTTGAGACAGAGCCTCAAGCTGTCCCCCTGGGTAGAGTGCTGTGGCATCACAGCTCACAGCAACCTCCAAATCCTGGGCTCAAACGAGTCTCCTACCTCAGCCTCCCAAGTAGCTGGGACCACAGGCGCCCACCACAACGCTCAGCTATTTTTTGGTTGCAGCCGTCATTGTTGTTTGGCGGGCCAGGCTGGACTCCAACCGCCACCTTAGGTGTATGTGGCTGGTGCCTTAGCCACTTGAGCCACAGGCGCCCAGCCGAGGCTGGTCTTAAACTCCTGAGTTCCTCAGCTTCCCAGAGTGTTAGGACTACAGGCATGAGCCACTGCTCCAGCCTGCCTTCTTTATTTCTAAGTTAACATTTTGGGAGCACATAGTGTGGTCGGCACAGTGCTAAGCATTTTATTCTTAGGCGCTAACTCCATCCTGACGATAGTCCTAGGTGGTGGCTGTTACTGGCTCCAATTTACAGATAAGGAAACTGAGGCTCACAAATTCAGCTGGAGAGTGGGGACTTCCTGGGACTCTCCCATGCCCCAAAAGGGCATCACTGTGCCCAGGGAGTGGAGGGAGGGGGCACATCAGCCCAGCTCCTCTGCTGAGCCGGTGACCCTGTTTACCAAAGGCCCTTCTCTCCCGGCCTCGTGGGGGAGAGGAGGCGATGGAAATGGGGGCCTTCGCAAGGCTGAGGAAGCTGAGGCCGGGCCAGGGTCCCGATCCTCTGCGTTCGCTTCTGGGTGAAACAGAGCCTGCTCTCCCCAGCATCTCTTCGGAGGGCAGCCGCATCCCTCAGCAAGAAGAGAAAAGTGGGGGCGAGGGGCGGCGGGTCCCATGGAGCAGACACTGCAGCACTCCTCCCTGCATCTCACTGTGGGGAAACTGAGGCCCAGAGAGGAAAGTGACCTGCCCAAGGCCGCGCAGTGGGAGCCTTGGACCCCGAGGGTTCCGGCTCCCATTACAGAGCTCGCCCCGGCACGAGGCTTCGGGGCGGCCCTGGGCCTCCCTCGCAGTCCCCAGCCGCTCACCGAGGCACAGACACATGTCGGCTCCTGCGCGGGTCGCCGCGGCCGCGTTCAGCGGGGCTCCTGAGGCTGCGGCTCTCCCGGGCGCCCCGGCCCCATCCTCGTCGCCCACCGCGCCGCGCTCACTGCCCGCCCGGAGCGCAGGGCTCGGCGGCGCCCGGCCGGCCTCCCTTCCCGGCACCCTCCGAGCGGCCGCGCCCCGCTCGTTTGCATCGCGGCCGGTCAGACCGGCTGAGCAGCCCTGGGCCCTCCCGGCTGAGTCAGGCGCCGGCCCCACCCACCGCACCCGGCGGGCGCACTGCCGCCCCGCGCTCCCCGCCCACCGCGGTCGGACCCATTTCACTGATGAGACTGAGGGAGGCTCGGAGGAGCCGCGTTGGCCTGGACCTCGGTGGGCGGGGGGAACATGGGTGCTGCACGCAGGTCAGGTGCAGCGATCTTGGCCTGGAGGGCACCGGGCGGAAAGGCCCCCGATGACACCTGCTGTGTGTGGGCTTAGCCTCTGGAGTTTGGAGAACACATCAACACCAAGGAGGGCAGCAGAGCCAGCTCTCCTAGGAAGTGCAGGCTGGTCTGGTAACTCCTACTCTGATGTGAGGGGAGGGTCGGGCAGGGGGCGGAGCAGCACTGGCGGTAATGGAGCAGGGTCTGCTCCCGCCTGCAGCCGCTGTGTGACCTCAGGCAAGTCACTTTCCCTCCCTGGGCTTACTCACACTGGGCACAGAGCACGCAGTGAATCTGTCTTGCACTCTGAGCAAGGTACTTTACTTCTCCGTCTGGAGGGGATTCACTTCCCTCTTTAGAAAATCAGGGAAAATAATTCCTGTCCCTGAAGGTCTTGGTGAGACACAAAAATGACGTAAAAAAATTTTGTGTGTGAAACTCTTCTGAGTGTCCCTATGGACAAAGTGTAGATTCAGCAAGAGCTCATGGTAGGAGCTTCACTAATCCTGGCTGTGGTGAACCAGCCCCTTTGGTGTGCCAGGGTGGGCCTGAGGGAGCAGTGCCTGTTTCAGCCTCAGCCTCCCATGCCTGGCTCTTTGGGTTCAGAGGGTTGACCACTTACCAAGAGTACCCAGCGGAACTGGCAAACAGGACCCTAGATGCCCCCTCTGCTCTTGGTGGCCAAGTTCTCCAGAGTGGCCGCATCATGGCCACTTCCCTGGGCCCTCTAGGTCCTTCGAGTGAGCCTCTGGGAGGCACTTACACATGTACAGTGGTATCTGGGCAACATCTGTTCACAGATGTTCATCTCCTCCCACCGCCAGGGAGCAGTGATCTGGAGGGCAAGGGCTGGCATGATGGCTCTGGGTGCCTAGTTGGAACCTGGCCCAGGGACTGTCCACCGAATGGCCGCCTTTCTGCACACTAATGATGACACCTGCTGGGTGGGGGCTGAGCCTCTGGAGTTTGGAGAACACATTAACACCAAGAGGGGCAGCAGAGCCAGTTCTCCTAGGAAGTCCGGGCTGGTCTGGTAACCCCTACTCTGATGTGCTTCCTTGTCATCTGTCATCTGAAGGGGGACAATGTGCAGGAAGTGCAGGGAGGGAGACAGACTTCTCAGGTGGAAGGAGCAGTTCACTAAGACATCAGATTGGCATTCGAGTGTTGACTGACGTCCATGGGGACAGCCTTGTAGCAGGGCAACTGGGCAGTATTTATCCATGTTGTGAGCGGTTAGACACTTGTAATTATGGCCCTGCAATTTCATTTTTGTGTCTTTATTCTACACACCAAAGAGTGTAAAGTTACACTTGCATGTAATGATGTTCATGGACAAGCTGTTCCTAACAGCAAGCAATAGTGATAACCAAGAGTGATGTGGGCCTGGGCAAAGAGAGGGGAAGGAAGCATTCTCCTTTTTGTTTTACACATGGCTGTAAGGTGAACATTTATTCCTGTCTTGTTTTTGTTAAACTGAAAGGAAGAGACTCGGTGCCTGTAGCTCAGTGGTTAGGGCGCAGCCACATATACTGGGCCTGTAGGGTTCAAACCTGGCCCAGGCCTGCTAAACAACAATGACAACTACAACCAAAAAATAGCCAGGCATTGTGGTGGGTACCTGTAGTCCCAGCTACCTGGGAGGCTGAGGCAAGAGAATTGCTTAAGCCCAAGAGTTTGAGGTGCTGCGAGCTGTGACGCCACGGCACTCTACCCAGGGCGACATAGTGAGACTCTGTCTCAAAAAAAAAAAAAAAGAAAGAAAGAAAGAAAGAAAAGAAGAGTTCTCCTCCCCACCATCACCCTGACCCCACTCCATCAACAGCTTTATGATGACAGAGCCCAGCACCCATCCTGGAGAGCACATGTGGTCATTGCAAAGCCACCACCAGATCTCACTTGTGTGTGTGCATGTGGCGTCTCTGTCAGTGTCAGGTGGTCCCCTTGGCACTGAGCTTGGTTGAGGCTTCTGGAGGTAAATTGGGCACCAGATTTTTTAAATGCCTTTGCTTCTGAATGCATAGATGGTAGTTCTTTTTATCCTTGGAACAACACTGAGGGCTAACAACAACCACCCATTTTACACATGGAAAGATTGAAGCCCAGAAAGGTAGACTTTTCAAAGATCCCACAGCATGTCAGTGGGAAAGCTGAGGCTTGGATCCAGGCCTGCGTGACTGTGAAGGCTGCTCTTGACTTCTGAGTGTGTGTGTTGGGGGACAGGGGAAAGCCACAGCCTCCAGGACTGTGCCTGTTCTCTGGGACACATGAAGAGGAAGAACCTGGTGTTCTCTAAACCATAATTTCCCAGTCATGGACCAACCTCAGCGACCTGAAGTTATTGCCACTTCTTTTCCTTATTGCCTTGAGGCCAAAGTCTACCAGTTCCAGACACTCAGGTCCCTTGCCTCTGCCCAACCTCTCTATACATGGCCTAAGGTTCTGGAAAGAACTTGTCCTCCTCCTCCACCAAGTCACTGTGACATCCTGGTAGCTCACTGTCATTCCCTAGCCTCAGTTTTCCTATCTGTCCAAAGAAGATAATGATTTGCCTTCCAAGCTTCCCAGATTTCTGAGGGCTAAATGACTTGAGAGAGATGAAAGTGGATTGAAATCTAGGCAGAGAAATACAAGTAGTAATTCTCTTCCTGGAACACTTAACGACTAGGTGTGGCCCAGTGCACTCAACTGGAGGCTGGGTCTTTCCAGGGCGTGGCCTCCTCACTAGGCTGCACAGTTGGGGAGGAATTCAGGCTGCCAGTCCCTGGGCAACCCTCACTTAAAGGAATTTTCCCCTCCTCCATGGAAGAAAGGACCTTTTCTCCATGTAAGAAAAGCAATCTGACACAAGCATGCCAGATCCTATTTTCTGTATGTATACACACACACACATATATAAAAAACTATAGACCAACTGGCCATGCCGTCTGAGACAAGAGGAGGCAGTTAAAGGGAATTTTCTGGCTGGGTACAGTGGCTCACATCTATAATCTCAGCACTTCAGGAGGCCAAGGAGGGATGATTGCTTGAGTCCAGGAGTTTAAGACCAACCTGAGCAAAAGCAAGACCCCATCTCTACTAAAAATAGAAAAATTAGCCAGGTTGTGGTGGGCACCTGTAGTCCCAGCTACTTGGAAGGCCAAGGAAGGAGGATCATTTGAACCCAGGAGTTTGAGGCTACAGTGAGCTATAAAGACACCATTGCTCTCTAGCCTTGGCAATAGAATGAGATCTTGTCTCAGAAAAAAGAGGCTTGGGGCCTGTAGCTCAGTGGCTAGGATGCCAGCCACATACACCGGAGCTGGCCGGTTTGAATCCAGCCCCGGCCTGCCAAACAACAATGACAACTACAATCAAAAAATAGCCAGGTGTTGTAGCAGGCACCTGTACTGCCAGCTACTTGGGAGGCTGAGACAAGAGAATTGCTTAAGCCCAAGCGTTTGAGGTTGCTGTGAGCTGTGACGTCACAGCCCTCTACCCAGGGCAACATAGTGAGACTCTATCTCAAAAAAAAAAAAACAAAAAACCAGATAAGAAAAAACAATAATAATTTTTAAAAAGGGAAGTGTGTAATGCTAAAGTTCATTCTTTTTTAAAGCACATATGACATATTTACAATTACAAATTCTGGATATGTGGGTAGCGACGTTCATTACATTATTCTTTGTAGTTTTTCTTATTATTTATATTTTGGGGGAAAAAAAGCTTGCTGTAGAAAATCTGGGGAAAAACAGGAATGTATAAAGAAGAAATTAAAGCTACCCATAATCCTCCTTCCCCCCATGGATAACCACCCTTCACATTCTGGAGTTTTGTGTTTTCTTGGTAGTTTTCATTTTTCTAGGTGCACATATCATTTTCTCCTCCTCTTCTGAGACTCCTGTCATCTGACCCTCGCCCCCCACCCCTCCTCATCACCTCCATCTGCACGCTCCCTGTCAGCCCTCTTCACCCATCCTGGACTGGAGTTTCGGTCCTGTTGTCCTGCTCATCTGTGTGGGTAACCCTCCAGCCCCTTCCTTGACTGCTTTAGTGGCCTTGATCATGACTCCAGTCCTCCCTCACCTCATCCTCTGACTTCACTGAGTCCAGGGACCCTTTCTGGTTTCTTCCATTCAGTTGCCCCCTGCTGGTCTCTTCTCTACTAGCCCTAAACTCAGAGGGCCCCCGGAGAGGTGAGACCTGAGGGGGAACTTGGCCATGGACCAGGATGGTGGCTGCGGAGACAGTGGGAAGAGGGGAGATTTGAGTTTAGCACCTGGAAAGCCTGTTGTACATCCCACACCTCCCGACTCCTTCGCCCCCTCCCTTCCCCCCCCACTTCTGTCAGCCTACAGACACGCCCACATCTCTTGCATCCTAAAAATCACCATTCCCTGGACCCACTCTGTGTTTCCAGTTACTGCTTTCCACCCTCTTTGCCTCCCCCTTCCAAGCTTCTGGAATGGGTTCTCTTTACCTGCTGTCTCCACGTCACCAACACCCACTTCCTCCTCAGTCCACAGCTATGTGGCTCCAGCAGGCTGAATGAGCCCCCTGCTGAGGTCACCTGTGTCTTCTACCTTGGCTGGATGCCATGGAAGCTTTTCAGTCCCTAAGTTGTCACTGTTAGCACCCCTGGCACTTGTATAGCACCTCTCTCCTGAGTTTCCTCCTGCCTTTCTGGTTGTTTCTTCTTAGTCTCCTCTGTGG